TGCTTAGCATCTCACTTTTTTTGCTGAGGCTGGCTTTGAACCCACAACCCTCCCGTCTCAGCCTCCGGAGCTGCTGGGATGACAGGCATTCACTGTTTGCCCAGCCTCTAATAAACATTTTTAAAGCAACAGATTGCAGTGGAGAAATCATATGTTCCATTCAGTGAGTTCTGTCTTTTCACTGGAGTCACTTTCGACCTGGGACGGTCCCCCAGTCTGCCCTAGGTTTTTCTGACTCTGACCCCTAAGGGGATTGTGAGACAGTGCTCTGAAGCCTCTCTCAACGTGGGTTCCTCTAGCATGCAGGGGTCAAGAGCAGTGCACTGGCCCTGGTGGGAGCTACGTGCTGAGGGTGCAGGCAGTAGGCAGGTCTATAAGACTTTAAAATAATAATAATAATAATAATAATAATAATAATAATAATATCAGTGAAGATTGAGTCTCTTTAAAAATTTTTCACTCTGATTGAGGCTCCTGCCAGGCACACAGTACTAAGATCCCCTGGTTTTCCCTGTGCCCCTCCTCCCCATGTCCCTTGGGCTGGGTGCAGCTAGCCCCTGTGGTTCCATAGTTAGACTCAGGGATGCTGTGTGTCCTGCTACTGCTGAAAGTAAAAGGTCATGGGATCAAGGGGAAGCCTGCCAGATTTCTCAAAGACGACTCTTGATTTTCCTTTGTCATCATTGTTTTGTTGTTTGGGATTTTGAGATAATGTAAATAGGCAGCTATTCAACGAATACTGATTTTCTTATTTTTTTGGTACCAGGGATTGAACCCAGGGGCACTCCACCACTGAGGCACATCCCCAGCCCTATTTTGTACTTTATTTAGAGACAGGGTCTCACTGAGTTGACCTAGCAAGCCTCGCCATTGCTGAGACTGGCTTTGAACTTGCGATCCTCCTGCCTCAGCCACCTTAGCAGCTGATTGACAGGCATGCACCACCGCAGCCAGCCGAACACTGATTTTTTGATATCTATTTTTTAGTTATAGGTGGACACAACATCTTTATTTTATTTTTATGCATTGCTGAGGTCTGAACCCAGGGCCTCACGTGTGCTAGGCAAGCACTTCACCACTGAGCTGCCACCAGCCTCCCCCTCAACACTGAAATTTTTATGTACCTATTTCTGTCATATGACCTGCTCGGTCCATGTGACTCCACAGTCTCTCATTTTATGAAATGAGTCATAATCCATTGTCATTTATGTGGATGCCCAATCATTGCTGATTTGGCCGGCAGGAGCCTGTGCAAGCCAGCTTCTTTGTCCTTGTCCTGATTTATTTTTTGGACTGTTATTTATTTTATGATATATAAAACGGTTTTAGGATCATCTTTTATTTCCTCTCTCCCCAGCCATGGAAGTAGCTATTTTTCTTTTTTCTCCCTAAGCACACCTGGTTCCATGTATTAGAGAATGGTATTTAGAAGCCGTAATCGGGACACAGAGTTTACTCATTGTGACTGCTGTCTGTTTGCTCTGAGGCCCCCTCAGTAGCTGTGTGTGTGTGTGTGTGTGTAATGATTGACAGCAAGGTGTGTGTGTGTGTGTGTGTGTGTGTGTGTGTGTGTAGTGATCGACAGCGAGTTTATTCTAGATTCTTCTCTGTCCACATCGTGGCTCCCTGTTCAGTCTATGAGGACACTGGATCCCATTATTGCCAAAAAACTTATGCATTTCTTCAGTCCCCCTCTCGCCAACCAAGTCTCTGTCACCTCCCTCTTCTCCCTGTGCAGGATCTGATACTCACTCACTTTCACCCCCTCACCTACACCCACACTTGCTGAGCATTTCCTCCCCCCTGTGGAGAAGCTCTTCTGACCCCACCTTAGCTCTGACGCGGATATAGCCCCCATTCCAAAGTGGGTGACATGATCACGCCATCCAGGACCTAGCGCCTCGGCTGGGACGCCCCCTTCACCATGGAGACTGTCCACCTTCTGCTTGGCTCTGCATCCCCTACTCAGCCTCTGACATTCTTTGCCCGGACACCTCAGTCTGGGCCACAATGCCCTACCCCATGCCCAACATGAATGTCACTGTCACATCTTGCAGGCCTCAACCGCTCATGCTGTGGCTCTGACATAGATGGGTGGCTCCTTGGCTAGACTTGGACTGACATGGTGGGAAGGAAAGGGAAAACGAAAAAGAAAGAGCTCAATACTTTTTTAAACATGAAATTAGGTGTTTTTATGTGCAATCATATAACATAAACCATAGCATGACATTAGCATTAGTATTTTCAGGACACTGAATGGCAGGTCGAGACATGGTCATTTTCCCTGATGTCAACCAGAGGGCCAGAGAATGTCAAAGCCGGAAGGAGTTTTGTAGACCATTCAAGACACACATTTTAGTTTGGAAAGACAGCAGAACTGGCGGTTAAAAGCCTGTATCCTGAACTCCTATAGGCCTCGGAGGATTGGAGCAAGTTGTCTTCATGGATAAAATAGATGTATTATTTATATCAGATAGCTGTTTTGAGATTCACTGTTATAAAGTCGGTCGCATTATGCATAGTACCAATAAATGGAGAGTCATCAAATTATGACAGTCATCATCATCATCATTATCCTTATTATTATTACAGACAGGGAAATTGAAATCCAGGAATTTGAATTATCTCTTCCCAATTTATCATCAGAAATTAAATTTAGGTCTCCATATTCTCTCTCCACTGTCTTTCCCACACATTTACTACTCTTACGTTGGATCCATTTCCATTAATCTTCCAAAATATTTGTACCCAGGTAAAACGAATTATTTTATTAGACTCATTTGAAATTGTAATTTCAGTAGATTCCATTATTGGCCCAGAAGTCTATGGAGATAAAGGTTTTAATTCCAAGCTAGTTAGTTATTAGTTCCACAGTGCTGGGTAAAGTGCTTAACCACTCTGATCCCCTGGTTTCTCATCTGTTAAGTGGCAATACTAGGTCTTACAGTGCAAAGGCTGAAGGAGAAAGAGCAGAGTGAGATGGATTGCAGGATTCTTTACTCCTAGACCTAATACAAGGCGTGATAAATACAGACAACCAACAGAAATCAACAACCTTGGAACAAGAAAAGGGACATACCCCAATGTTATCGACTTACAAAGAATAATAATAATAATAGAAAAAGAAAAACACAGCAAAAAAAAATTGGGTACGAAGAACAGGGGTGGCCACACTCAAAAAAATGGAAAATTCTCTGTGCCAAATCTTGTCCCCACCCCTGTAAGCATTACTGATGAAATAGCAATGTTCTGGTGGAAGTCTTGCTGCGATCTCTAGGTTGGGGGATCAGAGATTGGAATGCATAAGGGATGTAAATTCTTATTTTTTTCCCCTTCTTCTTGTAGAATGGTAGAGAAGAGGGATTCTGGAGAGAAAAGGGTATAGTGAAAAATTGTGAATAGTAATGTTGACACTACTGCAGATGTATCTCCCAGGGACATACACCTGAGGCCCCTTCACCAATAATCTTCCTATAAGCCATTTAAAGATTCTCAAAACAGAGAGAAGCAGTGGGGATTCATTCCATCCTTCGCTTATATTACAAAATGTGGTTCTGATGAGCCAGTAGCTGTTCTCTAAGCTAGAAATAAGAAGGAGAAAACAGTCCTAGGTATTATGGAAGGGAAGTTATAGCCCTGCCATGAAGGAATCAATAAAATTTCTGTGCACAGCTCTTCAAGGATAAACAATAAGAAAAGAGAGGGAATTGTAACTAAGCAAATACACAGCAACAATAAAAAAGAAAACATGGAAAACCAGGTATACACAAATTACCTGATCTAGAATAAAACATTACTCAAGGAAAGCTAGGAAATGTAAAGTTTTTCCATGCTATAGAATAAGAACATGTGGTTTTTCTTTTGGGGTGGGGGGTACCAGAGATTAAACTCAAGGGTACTAGACTACTGAGCCACATCCCCAGCCCTATTTTGTATTTTATTTAGAGACAGGGTCTCACTGAGTTGCTCAGGGCCTCACTTTTGCTGAGGCTGGCTTTGAACTCAAGATCCTTCTACCTCAGCCTCCTGAGCCACTGGGATCACAAGCATGCACCACAGTACCTGGCAAGAACATGTATTTGTTTTTAATTTTTTTTTTCAGTTGTAGATGGACACACTTTTATTTTATT